AAACGCGCGTACAGAAAAATATAGAGACGAACGCTAAAAAAAAGAAAAAACAGAACGATCAGATCTGATTATGTTACGCAACAAGGAAATGTTAGTGACCCTTGAATCGGGGAGATAAGTGTGATTTCAGCGAAGTTCTTTCGCACTGTTGAAATTCGGTCGTGGAGATAAAAATTCGTTATATTATTTCTCTATTGGCGAGATCGAAATGTACTTCAATTCATGATAACCGAAGAAATCAATTTTTACACTTTGATTGTTATTATTATTATTTTTTTTTAATTTAATCACACGCGCGTTTTGTTATAAAACTTTGATATTTTCTCGAGTGAGACAGAGAGAGGGAAAGAGAAGATGAATATTTTATAATGATGTATAAATTTTTTATTTTAATTTATTTAACTTCGCCAAAGTTTTCATTTCAAAGCAGATACTTTGAATATTGTTGATGCATTTCTCTTTCTCAGTCTTTGAGAAAATAAAAAAGTTTTAAGTTTGATATTATATAACACAAATCATATAGTAGGTCTATGTAGCTTTTAGTTAAGTATAAAACATTTCTCAACAAGATCAATCTCACTCTTATTGAATCTACTCTCTCAAACAAATGCGCAGACTGCAGTCTTGACAAAACAAAATGTCAAGAGAACGGGCTTCCAGAAGATTTTATCGAGTAGATAGCACCAATGATCTGTTTGAATTCATGGACCGTGGCTACACAGCCCAACACGAAAATCGATGGAACTTCGAAGTTGCTTGGGAAGTCGCCAACAAAGGTAAGGTAGCAAACACACACACACGTCACTTAGATTTAAGACAATTTGTAATGTCTTCTTCTTTTATATACATTGGTGATTCATTCAAAACTTGTTTCAGTTGGCGGCATTTACACTGTAATAAGATCCAAAGCCTACGTCTCAACCGAAGAAATGGGTGATCAGTACTGTCTAATCGGTCCTTACAAAGAACATTCGGCGCGCACTGAAATTGAAGAGGCCGATTTTCCGCCTCACAATCCTTTGTATCAAGCTGTACAAGTCTTGCGCGATCAAGGATATAAAGTAAGCTTTGTTTGAAACTCCGGACTGATTCTCATATCATCGCCTTTAATTCCGAATCGAAGAAATTGCAACGTGGTTCTTTCAACGACTTCAACTGTACGCCAAGAATAATGAGTTGGCCACTCGCCATAGACATAGCAAATATAATTCAAGGACGTGAAACGTCCGACAGTTTTCTCAAATCTTTCACCGACGTTTACATCCGTCACACTCGTTTATACAGTCGTCCGAAAGAATTTATACACACGTGATGAATTTTTGTTTATATCTACAGTAGCATGTGTATTCCAACATGTCAGATCTTTTATATAACGCAGCACATTCCTGTGTACAACGTGATATAAGATAGTTTGTTGTTAGTTTTTGCGACGAAGATCCTCTCTGTTGATGACTCGATTAAAGTTTTTCATTCCTTGATTTTGAAACTCTAAATAACATTATTTCTCTCGCGAATTGGAATACAATGGATAAAAGTGCAAAAAATTTATTTTTGAGGTGGTGACGGGAACGTGGTTGGTGGACGGGAATCCCCAAATAATTTTGTTCGATATCGGAAGCGCGGCCTGGAAACTGGACGAGTACAAACAGGAATTGTGGAACACTTGCCATCTCGGAATACCTCATCTGGACATCGAAGCCAACGATGCCGTGATACTCGGATATTTAGTCTGTCAATTTATTACCGAATTTAGGTGAATTTGCTTTTTCATTGACATTTTTTTACACGACGATCGTGTGAAACTTTTTTTTGTACGTCTGTGTGTCTAAATTTTGTTTCGTCAAATGTAACAGAAAAGCAGCTGAGAACTACTCGAGCGTGCCGCCGAGAGTGGTCGTGCACTGTCACGAGTGGCACGCGGGTGTTGGATTGATCGCTTTGAGAACTAGACACGTGGACGTAGCCACAGTATTCACCACCCACGCTACTCTACTGGGTCGATATCTTTGCGCGGGAAAGATTGATTTTTACAACAATCTGGATAAGGTGTGTGAAAGATAAAAATCTTGTTTAACGAGTTTAAAGTACCAAGAGAGACAAGAGAGATTGTGAATCACGCGTGCTTTCCACAGTTTAGCATCGACGAAGAAGCGGGAAAGCGTCAGATATATCACAGATATTGCATGGAACGCGCGGCCACGCACGTGGCGCACATATTCACTACGGTCTCGGACATAACCGGTTTCGAGGCCGAGCATCTGCTCAAACGCAAACCCGACATCATCACGCCGAACGGATTGAACGTGAAGAAGTTCGCGGCGTTGCACGAGTTTCAGAATCTACACGCGATCAGCAAGGAAAAGATACACGAGTTCGTGCGGGGTCACTTTTACGGGTTCGTATTCATCATAGTTAACTCGCAAAGTTTAATTCTTACAGTTACCATGTTGTCATTTCACGTGATTGCGTGAAATTTTTTACGTGGTTGCAGACATTACGATTTCGATCTGGACAAAACACTGTATTTCTTTATCGCTGGCCGATACGAATTCGGGAACAAGGGCGCTGACATCTTCATCGAGGCTCTGGCCAGATTGAATCACTATCTGAAAACGTCCAGACCCGATCTGACGGTGGTCGCGTTTCTCATCTTTCCCGCGAAAACCAACAACTTCAACGTCGAGTCTCTTCGTGGTCACGCCGTGAGTTGCGAGAGACGTTGAAGAGATCTATCGATTTTCTTTGACGCGCGAGATTTATTTTTTTTTTTTATAAATTTCTCTTTGAGACAAATTCTTTTACGCTACACGTTTTTTTTTTCAGGTAACAAAATCCTTGCGAGACACCATCAATGACATTCAGCAGAAGATAGGAAAGCGGATGTACGAATTGTGTCTGTCCGGTCGTATGCCCGATGCGCAGGATTTGTTGCAGAAAGAGGATACCATTAAAATAAAACGGTAGGTGTGTCAGGAACAGAATCTAAAAATGTCATCCTCTGTGATGACGATTCCGTGAATTTCATTTCTGATCTTCTCGCGCAGATGTTTGTACGCTCTCCAAAGAAACGGACTGCCTCCCGTTACGACGCACAACGTCGTCGACGATTGGAACGACCCGGTGTTGAACGCCATCAGAAGATGCAATCTCTTCAACACCGTTAACGATCGCGTCAAGGTAGTGGGCGTCTATCAGATTTTGTTTTTTTTTTATTAAAACACCCAATGTTATTTTGCTTTGCGAGAAAAATTTGCGTTCGCAGATGGTGTTTCATCCCGAGTTTCTGTCCTCGACCAATCCGCTGTTCGGTCTCGATTACGAGGAATTCGTCAGAGGATGTCACCTGGGCGTTTTCCCGTCCTATTACGAGCCGTGGGGATACACACCGGCCGAGTGCACCGTAATGGGCATTCCCAGCATAACCACCAACTTGTCGGGATTCGGATGCTTCATGCAGGAACACATAGCGGATCCGATGAGCTACGGCATCTACATCGTCGACCGACGTTACATCGGTCTCGAGGCCAGTGTCCAACAGCTCGCCCAGTACATGTTCGATTTCGCGCGACTAAGTCGTCGTCAACGTATCATACAGAGAAATCGCACGGAACGTCTCAGCGATCTTCTCGACTGGCGAAATCTCGGCATTGTGAGATACAACACATTTTTTTTCTCTTTTCCGCGCGAACATATCACGGGTCCTTGACCGTGTGTGCATTTTGTTTTTTTCTTTCCCCACAGTACTATCGGCAGGCTAGAATAAAAGCGTTGACGACCGTGTACCCGGAACTGGCGTCGGAATACGCCGAAGGCGGAATCGGTCGGTTCAATTATCCCAGACCCATCAGCGAGCCGCCGTCTCCGTCGTCCTCGCGACACACAACACCGGCCGCGTCTTTGCACGGCTCGGACGACGAGGATGAGGTCGACGACGAAAAGGAAGTAAGTATTTATATATATATACATATCACGAGAGGAGGTGATGAAACGGTGATCACGTGATGTAAAAAATGAATCCTACTCGAGAGTCTCTCTTGTACGTAAATGTTCTTATTGTACAAAATTTTTTGTTCACATCGCAGCTAGAGGAATTGCGCCAGACGAACGGGAGATAAGTGTGCGTGCGAGGAGAGCGCGCGACGGGAGGATTGCAGAAAGCAATTTACATACGTGCAATAAAAGACTACAGGTAATTCACGCGTGTGAACAACAAAAAAACAGTGCCAAAAAAAAAAAAACAAAAACAAAAAAGTTTGCGTTGCAATTTCTTTCTCTTCGAACAAGCTCTCGTCTCGGCTGTGTCACATCGCGTTCCGATTACACGCAACATCGCCGGTCGGGTAATTGAAAGTTATCTATGGAACACGTGACTTTTTTTTTTGTGGCAAATAGCGACCGTATATCGGCGATGATTTGTATATTATCCGAACGCGGTTGTCCGCCAACCGATACACCGAGCCACTGCCGTGCTCCGCAAACGAAACCAAAACTTAACGACTCCGCAAAATGTTCAAAACCACAATCTCCTCTTGGTCGATTGTTTCTCATCATATGTACACAAATTTTTTTATTTTGTTATAAATTCAATTTATTCAATTAATATCTAAATTTCTCAATTCGTCTCGCACGTGGTGTATCGTATATTGTAAAATAATTGTAAAAAATCATCTTCCTTCTCAAATTTGAATCGTCGCGATCGAACATCTCCGAATGTCAAAAACAAAATTTTTGCGCAATCGGGATATTATATTATTATACACGCGTCCGCACACAGTGTGTCTCTGTATTTTTGCGACAGCACGGTAATATACATAAACTACTTCGTACATATGTAATTTATTTATAAAAGACGATCGTGTTGTGTATAATTTTTATATTTGATAATTGGCACTTCGAACAATTCTTTCTTTCGCGCGCGTGTGCGCACGATTGTGCGTTTAGTCGTCGCGCGTGTTCCTTCGCATTTCTCAGTTTTCACATTTCACAACGAAGTTTGTTTGTATAATTTTGTAATGTTGCAAAGATACGTGGGAAGTATGACGGAAACTGCTACAGAGTCAATGAAAAACAAATTCAACGGTAATAGTTAAGATTTGTTTTTTGTTTTTTTACTTCATGCGAATTGAAATATTAACACAATTATACAAAACGAGAGAGAGAGAGAGAGAGAAAGTGACTAAGGTGTACATATACTCTCTTCGCGAGTATCTGGCAGTTTTAGTACCAAGAAAAAACAAAAAAAGAATTATCTTATCGGATATATCTTATCAAGATTTAAATAAATATTTACACTGATTTACACACATTGGAAAAAACGAGAGTAACGTATATAATATATAATAGTAATAATTAATTAATTCGTACAACAATATATAACCACAGCTTGCGTCGCACAACAACAACATACAAAAGTCGCGATTTTGAGAACAATCCGAAAAAAAAAAAACTATTTTTCTATTATATAAAATATAAAATCGTCAATAATATATCACGATAATAAAAAGAGAGTGTCGTAATTTGGAATGGATCTCCTTTATTTGCGTTGAGACTTAAAAAAAATTTTAAAAAAAATTTTTTTTCGCCGTATCGCATCCTTCGCATCACGTCGTTCATTCATTCATGCTCTTTTACCCAGCTAAACAAGTGTGTGTGTCGAGATATATATACCAGATACAAAATTATTCTTATCCTATCTACGGTATGTGGATTATAATATCGTGTGTCGGAAATCAAAAATTTTGTTAATTGCAATATTCTTGTTCGGAAACTTTCGGAAAAAGTACGATCGAACGCGTTGTCGCATAAAGTAAAAGCGTAAACATAATACCACAAATATGCTGGACAGAATGCGTGCGGAGTTTCACAATTGTGTCGTGTGTTGGAAAAATCAAACGAAGACGACACGCAAAAATAATATATTATCGCGCGCTCACAGATTCACAGAGATTTTTTAAATAAAACAATAAATTCGATTTTATCGAGCGAAGAAAAGAAAAGAAAATTAGAAGAGAGAGAGAGAGAGAAAAAACTTATTCGCGCACACATGTGAAAAGATGTAGACGTGTGTTAAACGTTCAATGTGACGAACAAACGATATATAGTATATATATATATATATATAAATTTTCTTTTTAAGCAATAAATTAATTGCGCAAGCAATAAGTACTGTTGATAATAATATTTTAAACCTAAATGGCACTATTTACGCATCGAACGAACGTGAATCGTGTTTTCGGAGAACACTCAAGGAATTACTGGGTGGACTACGTTAAAACGAGAGAGAGAGAGAGAGAAAGAGAGAGAGAGAAAAATTAAATGTAAGGAGCGTTAACTATCGTTAGCAATACGTATTTTTTTTTTTTTTAATACTTTGATTATCTATATATAGTACAATACATTCTTTTTTTTTTTTTTTTTATTTTATAGCGAGATAGTACCTATTAAAATTGAGCAGAGAACAATTAAGCTTCGAAACGACCATGATTTTTCATAGAACTCCATTGTATGCGTGTGTATGTGTGTGTGTTACTTTTTTTTCTCTTAATAATACGGTTCATATAAAAAAATATACAACGAATGTGTCTATTGTTTTTGACAAAACAGCGCACCAATGCACGGACGCGTTGTGAACTTTCAAAATCAATACAGTCTGTTGTTTAAAAACCAAAAAAAAAATAAAAAATAAAAAAAATAATAATTTATAAATATTTTTCTCGATAAAATTGTTTATTTATAATATTTTTTCGAAATGAGCCCGCGACACAGAGCGCATCTCTTTCCGCGCGATCTCCGGATTGCGCGCGCGAGCGCAACGACGATTTGGACAATTGTCCGAGATTTCCAAATTGCGATCGTCAAAAAAAAATTATTCCCGCGCGCAATCCAGCGCGCGAGGAAAGTGTCGTCGCCGCCGCCGCCGCCGCAGGCTCGAGTCTGATTTGAAAATAAATTAATTTTAAATATCAGAGCTCTTTCTCAGAAGAACAAAAGTTTAATTCCCATTAAAAAAAAACGGAGGACTCACACTGATGACGATTCAAGGACAGATAAAAATTACTTTCACCGACGAAACTTCAATTGCCGACGGAGAGAACTTGTGTGTTCGTTTAATACAAAAAAAAAAAAAAAAAAAAAAAAAAAAAAAATACAATTTAGATAAATTTTACTGGCAAGTTTTTTTCTTACGTCGTGTAGTTTCTTTTTTTTTCTTTTTTTTTATATCAAGACTTTCCGCAAAGCG